AGGATTTTCCACGTGTCACAGAAGGGAGATACTGCTGAAGCTGCTAAGTACTTGCATTTCTCCTGCACTATAAAGTACAAGCTGGTCTCTTGCCTCTGAGTTCGGCAGTTTCTTTTGTTAAGCTTGAAACCCAGCAAAGCAAGTAACTTGGCAGATGACTGGTCACTGTTTTGACACAGTAGTTCCTAAGGGGGTCCTCAGAAAACAACAATTCTTTAAAAAAATGTAGTGTTGTGCTATTATTCAAAAACTTTCCAAGCAGCATTACAGCTTGCTGGAGCTAGCAAGTGCTGCAGACTATCCTGTTTTCCAAAATGTGAAAATCTCCTTTGATTTACAGCCACCCTCAGTGAACAGCTAGCATGGGCTATGGCTGCTACTCTTCCAGTTACTTTCCCCCATTTGCTTTAAAAACAGATAATCTTCTCTTGCAGCCAATGGAAACAAGTCACTGGAGGAGAACCTCCTCAGAGCTCACTGTCCCAAGGCACACACGGGGAAATGGAAGAGCAGTGAAGACACAGCAGTGCAGCCTTGGCTGTGGAGAAATTTCCATATAGCTTGGACTGAGCTGGGCATCCAAATTCCTTCAAAATGACTAGGCTACCCGTAAATAAAAGCAAACATTTACCTGTCAAATCTATTGCCTTTTGCTCAGTGCATCTGTCTGCAAAAGTACTGTCATTTCATCTTGAGGACTTTATTCTCAAAATGTGGCAGGGTGAGAAATATCTCAAGGATGATGGTTGGCTTTCCTTTGACATCTCAGGACAAGTGTCTTCCAGCAAGAGAGATATATTCTTCTAAGAGACTTCCATATAAAACCAGACAGGAACAAAATGTGACTAAGTGTAATAAATGGCTCTATGTTCCTGTCCACACACCTCTGTGTCACCAAGCATCCAGACAGAGACCAACATTTAACTTTGTTCTTTCCCTCAGCCCACAGATCTCAAGTTGTATTACATCCTCAGATCCAACCTCCAGAGGTAAGAGGACACAACAGAACTCATCTCAGTTGTATGCCTTCAAAAAGGTATATATAGAATTCAAATGAATGTGCAGAAATTATAATATGTATGAAACTCTCCATTGCATCACCCTCAGAAAGCCACCCTAAGTGGAACGCTTCCACTTTTGAAACAACAGAAGATTTTAAGGTATCAATACTTGCCCATACTTCCTGACCAACTCCATACACTGCAAGAGACAGCTGTTAAAAGAAGCCAAGTCTGAAACTGAGTCAGTCAGGAATCTACCAAATACTGATTTGTAGGAATTAAATTGAAGAACAATCACTGTGACATAATCAATTCATCACTAAGTAGTGCTGCTCAGATATAATGATGTTTATTCTAATATACCGCAAACACATTTTAGAAGCATCAGAGCAGTTTTGCTAAGTAGATTTCACACATTTGTAAGCCTATTACACATAAAGCTTTCCCTAGCGACCTTTTGATCTTCTTCTTCACATTTCACGTTGAAGGTACAGTGCAAACATCACACACCCAATAAAGCAAGTATTGTAGTCAAGTTGTGACTTCTCTGTGTATAAGTTCCTATTTATAGCATACCTCTTTTCACAAAAGATGGCAGTAAGTCCAGAAACTTTTCCTAATCATTGTGAACAGTTAAACACATTGCTACATACACTCCAAAAATCATGCTTTTATTTTCATCTGAACAGAATGTGAATAACTGTTATTAGTCAATACTTCTTTGACCAATCATCTGTTTAGAAAATCAATTTCCCCTTATTTTTTAAATCAGCTCCCCTCTTCCTTTTTTTTTTTTCATTAGAAGTTGTATTTTTCAGAAATAATGCTTACCTGTTAACTTCAGAAGGCTCACCACTGTTTTACAAAAAAATGATAAAGTGTTTTTTGCAGAGCATTTTGCAAAGAACTACAGTATTACAACTGCTCATCTGTGTTAAGTGGATACACCTGCTTCGGTAAGTAAGTCTGGCTTTATAAACCACTTCTGCTTGGCCATGTGTAAATTAGGCTACCAGACACATTGAAACTGAATTAAAAATGCTTTAAGTGTGCAGCTACAGCCAGAAATGTCATATTCTAAGTGACCTCTGATGTGAATATTGCCCATACTTTTTTTCTGAGATGGCAAGATACTACATTTTCTAATATCTTGTTTGCACTGCAGGCTTTTAAATAGAGAAGCAGCAATAAGATTATCTTCTGTCTTGTAAACAGTAATCCTGCTGCATTCTAAAATCTGTATTAATGACAGACAGCAAGCAAGGCCTAATTACTGCAACCTCAAAACTTCATTTCTGCTGTCTGAACTATGTGAAAAGCATGGGCTTCTTTTCCTTTTCCAAGAGGAATGCAGAATTCCCAGCCTATTTGCAGTGCTATTACCTGGAGAGGTAGCAATGAGATACTAATTTCAACAGCAAGTACTGATTTTCATGAGTGGGTGAACAATGTCTTTTGCTCTGCTGCCACAAATGGTTGTGCAATAAAATATGCCGTCTGAGATGCCTATACCTGCAAAATTTTCCATCTCAGTTCAACAAACCACTCAACAGGTATGACTACACTGCAAATAAAAAGTAGACATGCTTTTTAGTATATAGTCCATAGCGCTCATGATGCCAACATGAGGGACTGCCAGTCTTCTCATCATACATCTGCCTTGTGTGCCATTTGTCCAGATGTGTCCAGTTACCTGAACACTCAGTGACCGGAAGCACATTCAGCCTTGTTTTGAAAACAACTTTATAGATGCAGTGTAGACATACAGGAAGGACTACCTGTCCTTCTAGGTTTTAAAGGTATGTTGCTTATCAACAATGAAGCAAAGAAGAAAACAGACATGATTTTGCAGGAGGTATTCTATCTTATCAGGGTCCCTGGAGCTTCAAACTTAAACATGTATATATGAAAGAAACAGTGCATGACATTTGCAAAGCTTATTTTTCTTGTACATTACCTTTAAGACAAAGCAGTAATCTGTCGGTGCCTTATATTTCACTTTGTGTTGAGAACCGTAATAAATGTTCACATTCTCAAACTGAATGAAGCATGCCAGATCCCGTGATGTCTACAAATGAAAACCAAGCACATCATTGTTAGAAGAAATTGAATTTTGATGTGAAATTCATTAACAGGACTTTTTTCAAGCACATGAATGCCTCTTAACTGTCATGAAGTTCAATGAAGGAAGATGAATCTTAAG